TTTTAAAAATTGATTCCACATTATAAAATTTTAGAGGAGATAGGACAAAATAATAATAGAATTAAGTGCTTTTTGGCACATCTGGTTGACACAAATATCTTTAAATCACTTATGTGTTTAGTTATATGTGACTATAAAATCCTGGGATTTTCCCAAGTGTTGTAGATATTTAAAGTTTTTTGATCACGTGGGTCAGAACTTAAATATAAAATGGCTAAAACTACACTTGACAATTTACGTGGTCATCACAAGAAAAAGAAAAAAATTGTAACTGTGAATTGATGGTGTTAACTAAACTTACTTTGGTAATCATTTTGCAATATGTGCATCATATGAAATCATTATGTTGTGCACCTTAAATTTATACAATATTGATGTCAATGATATCTCAAGAAAACTGGATAAAATAAATGGGGGGAAAAAGAAAATTCAAGTGAATGCTGATTCTCAGTGAGTGTCATTCTTCCAGTTTCAAAAGGCATAAAAGATAGCCTTAGTGGATAGCCCTAGTGATTTGGCTCAGTGGATAAAACGTCGACCTGCAGACTGAAGGGTCCTGAGTTCTATTCTGGTCAAGGGCACATGCCCGGGTTGTGGACTCAATCCCCACCAGTGAGGGTGTGCAGGAGGCAGCTGATTAATGATTCTCTCTCATCTTTGATGTTTCTATCTACCTCTCCCTTCCTCTCTGAAATCAATCTATATAATAAAAGCCTAAGCAACCATATGGTGGAACAGCCAGTTCCTATGATGCACACTGACCATCAGGGGGCAGACACTCAACACAAGAGCTGCCCCCTGGTGGTCAGTGTGCTCCCACAGGGGGAGCACTGCTCAGCTAGAAGCCGGGCTCATGGCTGGTGAGCGCAGCAGCGGTGGCGGGAGCCATCTGAGTGCCAAGGAGCAGTGAGCAGGCGGGCAGTAAGAAGCAAGGGGTCCAGGACTGCCAGAGAAATTTCTAACTGCCAGCTTAGGCCTGATCCCCATGGGTAGTGGGCCTAAGCCAGCAGGTGGACATCCCCCATCGGGTCCCGGATTGTGAGATGGTGCAGGCCAGGCTGAGGGATACCCCCACCCCCGTGCATGAATTTCGTGCACCAAGCCTCTAGTTAATAAATAAAAATATATATATTTTAAAAAAATTTTAAAGGCATAAATAAAGGATAGACCCTGGTGAGAGACAGAACAAAAGAGTTAGAATTACATAGAATTATATTCTAAAAATTACATTTATATAGTGTTTACTATCCTCAAAGTGTTTTTACCTTATTTCATCATTTCAATAGCACTGTAAGGTAGGTGAGGCAGGTATTGTCTTTGTTTATTGAGAAAGAAACAATATCAGAAAGGTTGAGTGATATGCCTGATGGAACTAGCACTTGAACCTATTTCTTCTGATCTCTAGTGCAGTATTTATTCCATTATATTTTATTGCCTGATTGAAATGAATTTATATGCACTCTAAGACATTGGAGAATTAAACTCAGTGTTTATAAGCTCTCAGAATGCAAGGGGCACATACCTGTTTTATGTTTTTCTTCTGAACTTGATTCTTCCCAAGTACTTAAGAATATGCTGTCATGTGTATGTGATACTAACATTTCTGACACCCAGAATGATATTGCTACTGGTTCTCTGTCTTCTTACTGGTGGTGACCGGTAGGCAATGAGCAGTCTATCACCTTTTACATGATCTTACTCAAATCTATCCCCAGATATTCTTTCTAAAGCCATAATTCTACTCTTAAATTGAGATATAATCACATATCATAAAATTTAACATTTTAAAGTGTACAATTCAGTGGTTTATGGTACATTTACAAGATTATGCAGTATTCATCACTATCTAATTTCAGACATTTTCATCATTCCAGAAAGAAATCTTAGACCTGTTAGCAATCACATCCATTCCTCCCTCCCTGACTCTTCAGTCAACATTAATCTCTTTGCTGTCTATATGGATTTGCTTATGCTGGACCTTTCATATAACTTTTTATTCTGGCATGTCTCAGTACTTATTCCTTTTTATGGCTAAATAATATTCCATTGTATGGATATACCACATTTTGTTTATCCATTTATCAGTTGATGGACATTTCCATTTCCATTTCCATTTTTATGTCTGCATTATATCATAATGCAGCTATGAACTTGTGTGTACAAGTTTTTGTGTGAACATGTATATATGTTTTCAATCCTCATATATATATGCATAGAAGTAGAATTGCTGGGTCATATGATAATTCTATGTTTGATATTTGAAGAACTGTCAAACTGTTACTCACAGTGGCTGCATCATTTATATTCCCATTAGCAATGTATGAAGAGGACCTTATGTTTTTTGTGTGGACCAGTCATCATTTTCCAAATGCATCTTCAAGCCTGTTTTTTATTTCATTCCCTTCCACCTCTATCTCCCCTACCCCCATCTGACCACCTGTTGAAATTCTATGCTTCCTTAAAAACCAAACTCAAATACTACTTGTGCGATGTCTTCTTAGATTACTGGGGCTAGAAATGACTTCTCTCTATTATGTATAGTTGTACCATTTATTTCTCTTTTAGGCCTTTTTGTAATCATTGTTTGAGTCTTTGACTTATTTCTTCTACCATATTTTTGTGCTCTCATGGTGCTTTGCATAAAACAGGACTTCAGTAAATATTGGAGAAACAAATGGGAGAGGATTGAAAATCCTTAACTTGGATATTTAAAATGTTACATGATACATATACTCTGTATTTGGCTCTATAGTAATATATAATACCACATCAGACCAATACTTTTTATAAAATTGAAATGTTAACATCTAAATACCATCTTCAGTAAAAAAATTCCAGAATTTGGAATCATGATTTTATCTATCCTTACAAACTGGCAGGTATATGTATCTGCAAATACCTAATGTTTGGGCTTATAACAAGCTCTTAGTTGTACAGTTACCTTTTGATATAATTTGACAACTAATATTCTACATTTATCTATTGGCATGGATCTATAATGCCATCTTTGTAATTACATATTAATGAAGCTGTGTTGTATTACACAGTACTAAGTACATACTAGTACATAGTTCATTGCTCAATGTTATTAGGTCTGAAGTTAAAGATTTATTTTGTAAAATTATAGTATACTAGGTAATAAATTACACCCAAATCATTCTAACTTTACTGTCTTTATTAGGATATCTTTATTTGGTGTCCATTGTGGAAACTAATAATCAACTAGCTAAATATGCCAAATAATGTAGTCCAAATACAGAGGTGCTTTGTTTATAAATTTGTGATATAGTATTGCCTAGTGATTAAGCGCACAGATTCTGTAGCTTAGTGGTCTGGGTTTGAAACCTAGGTTTGCCATTTATTAGCTGTGTGACTTGGAAGAAGTACTTAACCTTTCTATTCCAGTTTTTCTATCTGTCTACAAAAACTCTTAACTTCCCCAGGTATACATATTTATGTATCACTAGAGGCCCGATGCATGAAATTCGTGCAAGAATAGGCCTTCGCAGCCCCAGCTGTCTTGGCTGCCTTGGCCCTTGCAGCCCCGGCTTTGTCCAGAAGGTTGTCCGGACGGTCATTCCGCTGTTTGGCTGTTCGGTTGATTTGCATATTATGCTTTTTTTTATTTTAGATAGACATATATAGGTATGTAAATATGTACTCATGATTATATACTATGAGTACTCATGTTCATGTTTACTTACATGTATATATATACTTTTAGCAAAATAACGACTATACTGTTTTGAATCTTGTGGCTTTCACTTAGCTTGATGGTTTCTCATGCCATTCAGTATGCTTCAAAAACACTGTGTATAGTGACTGCATAGTAGTCCATCCTGTGAATGTTCAAAATGTATTTACCAAATTCCCCATTGTAGTTTTTTCTTTTTCTTTTGGAATTTTAATTAATGTTGCAGTGAACATCCTTGCATATTTTTGTCTGGCTTTCAGATAAGGTATATCAACATATGTGTAACTCCATCTATTGAAAAAAATACGCATTATTAACTGGTACACCTGGTAAATTTTTAATAGATTCCTTAAAATAGAATTACGAGGACGAAGAGCATGAGCTTTTAAAAAATATTTTTTTATTGATTTCAGAGAGGAAGGGAGATAGAAACATCCGTGATGAGAGAGTATCATTGATTGGCTGCCTCCTGCCTGCCCCCTGTTGGGGATCAAGCCCACAACCCAGGCATGTGCTCTGACCGGAAATTGAACCTTGACCTCCTGATTCATAGGTTGGTGCTCAACCATTGAGCCACACAGTGGAGAAGGGCATGAGCTTTTTAAGGCATTTTGACGCATTTCCAAATTGCTTTCCAGAAAAGTTGTGCATATTTTATTTAAGAGAATTTATTTAAAATGAACTTTATTTGAAATTAATGGGTTGTTTTTATTTTCATAAGTTGATTTTGCTGTATCATTTATTTCAGTGAATATGTATTGAATATCTACTATTTGCAAGGTATTTTAGACCCAGAGGATCAATGAACAAATAGGTATGGTTCCTAATCTCATGGAGCTTGCTTGTCTCTCGGACTGCAGATATTTGGCAGTGGATTACATTATTTTAAAGAGTTAGAATTGAATAAATTAATTAGAAGCAAGGAAAAGTTGTGCCTGAATGATTTAAGTATGCTAGCTAGTCTTTTTACTATGTAGTCCTGTATACACCATATTGGGGGGCTATGTTCATAGACTTGCTTCATTGAAAAAAATGCTGCTTTTCAGCTCTGTGTTAAGCACAGAAGATACAATGCTCTCTAGAAAACCTGGATTTGGTATGTCTATGTTATATTTGTAATCAGAGCTAAAGATAAGAGATAGTTGGGAGGTTCCCTCAAAGTCTCTTCCCATAGTCCCATATTTCTGCAGTAATTTATCTGGTTATACTTAAATTCCAAATCAGAAGTCATATTACCTTAAATTGCAGTTATTCTAACAATATTGAGATCAGTTTAATGGATATTGCATCTTTAATTCATAAACAGGTTGAATCATTTATTTTGGACCAAGAAGACCTGGATAACCCAGTGCTTAAAACAACATCAGAAATATTCTTATCAAGCACTGCAGAAGGAGCAGACTTACGCACTGTGGATCCAGAGACACAGGCACGACTAGAAGCATTGCTAGAAGCAGCAGGTGCGTAATTTTTGTTTTCTCTTTTTCAACTCTTTAAAAGTCTAGATTGTTATACAAAGTTATACAAGATTACCCCTAAATTATATAACACTAGAGGCCCGGTACACAACATTCATGCACTCGGGGGGGGAGGGGGGGCGGGGGAATCAGCCTGGCCTGCGCCCTTTCGCAGTCTGGGAGCCCTCGGGGGATGTCCTACTGACAGCTTAGCGCAGCCGTGGAGGCGAGAGAGGCTCCCGCCACCACTGCTGTGCTCCCCAGCCAGTCAGCCTGGCTTCTGGCTAAGCTCCCCAGGCAGTCAGCCTGGCTTCTGGCTGAGCGGTGCTCCCCCTGTGGGAGCGCACTGACCACCAGGGGGAAGCTCCTGCATTGAGCGTCTTCCCCCTGGTGGTCAGTGCGCATCATAGCGACTGGTCATTCAGCCATTTGGTCGATTTGCATATTACCCTTTTATTATATAGGACTAGAGGCCTGGTGCATGAAATTCGTACACTCTGGGGTGGGGGGAGGTGTCCCTCAGCCCGGACTGCACCCTCTCGCAGTCTGGGAGCAGGCCTAAGCCATCAGTCGGACATTCTTAGCGCTGCTGCAGAGGCGGAAGAGGCTCCCACCACTGCTGCTGTGCTAGCCACCCATGAGCCCGGCTTCTGGCTGAGCAACGCTCCCCTTGTGGGAGCACACTGATCACCAAGGGACAGCTCCTGCATTGAGCACCTGCCCCCTGTTGGTCAGTGCGTGTCATAGCAACTGGTCATTCTGCTGTTCGGTCAATTTGCATATTAGCCTTTTATTATATAGGATTATGTGAAATTTGAAATCTCTATACAATATATTTTTTTTTTCCCCTAAAGAAAACATTCACATTTTATATTTTAAAAATTCTTGGTTGAAAGTTTTCTGTGAGTGATTTCTGGGCTCTGCACTAACATATTTAAGGTATTAGATAATAACCTAGTTATCAAGGAAAATTTATTACTAATTATCTACACTAATAAAAGAGAAACATGGTAATTAGCGTACGACCGCTACCCTTCCCATTGGCTCATCAGCATATCCTTATGCAAATTAACTGTCAGCCAAGATGGCGGCCGGCA